CGCTCTTCTTCATATTCTTCCAAATCCGTCTGAATTAACCAATGACTTTGAACCACAATTTTCATCGGAAGTGTCACTAAACAAAAACTTTTCTTGGTCATCAGGACCTGAATCTAAATATACATATTCAGAATTGTCTTCAGTATAGAATACATTTTCTACACTTTGAGATGGTAACAAAACAGCGGTGGCAGTAGTATTGTCATTACATTGGGTTGGAAAGTAGATAATGGAGTGGAATTGGTCTCTGTGTTTGCATGCAGCATTGTCTCAGCATTTTGTAGACCTTTTAATCGTTTATAGTTTCCAGACTTTGATAAAGTTGCAAAAGGTTTTGACATTGTATAATTAAATTATTTGGATGCTGGAAGTAAATAATGCAATAAAAATACCTCGAAAAATACTGTCAATTTGTGAATTAGTAGATGAATAAAACACTAAAACACAGCCTTCATATAATGAAATTTGATTTCCTTCTTAGTGCGATTCAAATGTAAATTTCTCATTCCAGCAAGTGGTTATACCAACTTTGCATTTTGGGTCATTTTTGATAGATCTCGCTGGTGCATGTCGCATCGACAAATATGAGAATGGCCGATATCGATGTAGAAATGATATTGATATTATCACAATAGACCACTTACAAATAGAGGTCGCTGAAGGCGAGTTTTGGTATTAAAACATAACCTCACTTTATTCTTATGTATTTCTCCATAAGAATACTAAAAAATGCCTTACAATTGTTCAGTGTACAACTGTAATTCCACCACCAAGACGACACAATATAAATTTCATTCGTTTCCGAGAGAGGCAAAAGAAAAACGATCTTGGTTAAATGCGATCAAATCAGGAAAACAGCCCTCAAAGCATGCAAAGGTGTGTGAGAAACATTTTCGAAATGATGACTACGTTGTGACTAGTTTAGGTGGTATTTGTATTCCTTATCACAATTTATTTAAACTTTGAACACAGGTCAATGGAAAATACTTAAGAAAAGTGCAATTCCATCACAAAATTTGCCAAGGAGCTCTCATCATCTAGAGAAACGTGATTCTACTGCAAGAAGTGAAAGATATTTGTCAAGGCATACTCAAAAGATTGTAACCGACAATGACAAACATAATGTCAATCGTGACAATGAAATAGTTGACATTATCGCAGAAGATGTAGAAGAACAAGTTGAAGTGGAAAGAAGTGGCACACATCATGCGCAAATTCAAACGATCATTAGTCTTAAGCGATCCCAATTAATATCCGCAAGTTTCATAGATGAGGCTCAAATGAAACACATGACGGGATTTTCCAGAAAATTGTTTATTTTTTTTGTCAATATTTTGGCAATTCATACACAAAAACACATTCGTTATTTACCAATGAAGACGAGCTCTTAATCACGCTAATGAAATACAGACTGAACTTACATTATACGACGTTAGCTGCCCTTTTTGACACAGATATTCGAATAATAAAATCCATAGTAGAAAAGTGGACAAAACACCTATACACAAACTTTAGACAAATCAACTTCTGGGATTTAAAAACGTGTAAGCACGGCCAGTACACGATAGTCTTGGATTGTACGGAATTTAGAATCGAACGCAGTGGTGATCCTCTAATACAACAAGCTACATACTCTAGTTACTATGGAACAAATACTTTCAAGGTACTGATTGGTGGAACGGAAAATGGAGAAATTGCCTTTGTGTCAGATGTGTATGGGGGTTCTATTACTGATCGCAAAATATCACATATATCGGGCATACTTGATCTTTTGAAGGAAGCAGATTACGTTTTGGCTAACCGAGGATTTGACATATCAGATCTTTTGGAAGAAAAGCATGTCCATTTAAATATCCCCCCATTCAAGAAAGGAGCGCAGTTAACGGAAGAAGAAATCTTTAAAACCAGGGCCATTGCTAATCGTCGAATAATTATTGAAAATTTAATAGGAGCGGGGAAAAAAAATAAAATCCTAAGTGATCGTATACCAAGACATTTATGGCATATAACAAATGAAATTGTATATAACTGCATGATGTTTATTAACTTCAAACCATCTATCGTTCATGATACTTTAATTACAGGAAGTAAGCAATAGTTTGCATCATAATGTAACTCATTTCACATCTTAAACTATATTGTAATATTCAAAGTAACACCACTAACATTAAGTAATATAAAATATATAATGTACATATCTAATCTTAATTTACAATACCAACGGTAAAATCATTAATGGTAAAATCTATTAACTAGATAACATTTTTAAGTAATACCTGAAATAAACGTAATGCAACTTTGTGATTAGAGCTTGAAGGAATACATCATCTCTTTCTACTTCAATTACAAATATACTATTATCAAAAGAACTAAAGATGACAAAGTCACACAATTCAATGTTTAACAAAAACATTGCTAATTGCACTTGACCATAGTACTTATGATTCGTATTAAGGCAATATGGGAAAAGTTGTTGATTGTCATATTTGAGATATGGTAACTCTGATATAAAACCTTCCACACCAGAGGTCTTCCCCAGAACAGGGCATTTTATCTCAATTAGTTTATAAATAACTCCGCTGTGCATTTTTAGGCCATCAGGACTAAATCCAAGCCAAGGAATGGAGGGATTAATTAGCAATCCTGTGGAATGCACTTGCCCATATTGGCATTGATACACTTGTCTAGCAAGGGATTCACAACTGTTACCATAATCAGTAGCTGCATTTCCTGTAAATGTAGAATTAATCAAACTATCTATCTTCCTTGGCCAGTTAGGGTTTGCATTGTTACAGTAAGTAAATAATTCGTAACATCTACTTGCTGTTATACGTCGCTTTCGATGCATTCTCCATAAGGTATTGTTTTGGTGGACAGTAGCCATAGCTATATCTAACGCACCGTCTACAGACACAACAACATTTTCTTTATAATATATTGCTTCAGACTGTGTCAAGTTTACTAGCGGCAGCGGTACTTGCAATTGTAAATTGGAATACAGTCGTTGTTTTAATGCATTTATAAAAGAAAAGTCGTATGTGTCAGTATTTGATGCAGGCAAGGCTTTTACAGATGCAGTAGGTGAAGTCTGTTGATCATCTTCGGTGGATTTTGCACCTGCGTTACTTAACCATAAATTAGCAAATGCAAAAGGCAAAACCAAATATTATTCCGAGGGGCTAACCTCCATTTGAATCTGTATACATCATTTTTTAGGGAGGAAAACCCCTCGAATTATTCTATGATGAGGGCATCACATATTCCTTCAAAAAGTTTGCTTATATTTAATAAATTCTCCTGTAAACATATTTGAAAATATTAATTAAATACCTACCCATATGTACTAATCCGAAATGATCATTTGTGTAACCTTCCAAATTTGCTTTTCGTTTATTTGTCAGGGGACAACTAATATTGTTATTAATTAAATTATTCACTAAAGGGTCAGATTCACGAATAGTATAACTGTTTCTTTGCCGCCCTGTTATTTCAAAGATTGACATTACATCAATACCCCTGCCGACAATTGGTTTGTTCCATTCCATCGGTTGTGAAGTGCAAGAGACATATTCTTGTGTGTTTCCTAAAATGAACTTTTTAATGCTTCCTTATCCATTACAAATGTGTCGTAATTTACCTGAAATCGAAAAGTATTCCAACGAAAAGCAGAATGCACCAATATGTTTGCATGCCGCCGACCATCCCGTTCCAGCAGGGCATGTACACTGACACTGAGCAATTTCAAATGTCGACTGATGTTGTACAACTTTTATTTTGACATTGTATTCGAAAGTTTTCCTTTGTTCCACACAGCACTTACATTGTAAATAATACTTGTTCCCATCAATATATGTTTTACTATATTTAATGAATAACTTGATCGCTAATATGCGGCCTTTCTGCATTCCTTTAAGCGCTCGTCGATCCGAAAACCATTTATGAATTGCATCGTAGCTTATCAATGCAGTTCCGGAATAAGTGTTCAACGGTTTAAACAAAGCACTCGTTGGGAATTCCTCGCTCGGTACACATTTCATTAAATCTACTTCGAATAAGGTTTTCTCAAGTCCATGTTCTTTCCATGTACTTAATCTAAAAGTAGAATAATAGGTTAGGAAATTAAAAAAATCTTTATTCAGAATATAACAACACTTACCGCTTTTCCAACTGCTGCTTCGATCCAGATGTTTTGGCACCTAACTGCTTTAAGGCAGATTTTAAATCGGAAATGTTCATTTTCTTTTAAAATCAGTTAAGTTTATTCTGTTCCCATACAACAACCACAGAAAACAGCTGATATTATACCAAAGTGCGACACGAACCGCCTAGCTCTAAAAGAAGGAACTAAAAAAGTGTAAGTGGTCTATTAAGGTTTGTATTATCGAGTTGCAATATGGGTAGACATTGTAAAAAAATACCTTTGTCAAAGACAATCACCAGACATGGACAGGTTGTTTATTAGCTTTAGGTCTGGAAAAGCAACAAGCAGTATGCCCAACAAAGTCGCCAAATGTTTACAGGACACCGTTGAGACAATTTCACAACCCACAAAATTAATATTACGTACAATAATTGTGATTAATTATAATTTTCAAAAATAACTTAATATCAATTCTGTTCAATTCAATAAAATTCTTGTTTACTATGGTAACATCACCTAACTAACCAATATACGTACAATAATCGAGTGAATAAACAATAAATATGAATTGTACCTACTTACATTTGAAGATTTCGTCTTCTTCATTGACATATTATTATGCACTGGTATTTACACTAAACTTCTAGTTCTTAAATAACGAATTAAATTTGAAAATCACCGACACTGTATTTGTAAAGGCTGGAACAACAATTAAGAGTATCTAGTCTAGTGCTACATGTTTTGAATGAATAAAATAAATGTTTTACAAACAGGAATGGTTCCTATACAACAAATGTTTGCAATAATAAAAACAGATGGAAAAAATATATTTTACACGAAGAAAATATTTGTTTTTGAAACGAAAATTGTCGCAATAAAACAAATGTTCAAAATTAGAAATTATTTACCTAGATTTACACAACTAAAATATGATTTACACAAAAATAAACTGTTTAAAATAATAAAATAAAATCCATTCCATTCCATGGTACTAATTAAAAAAATTGTTTCAGATCATTTTCTTTGCTCTAAACTACTTCTCGTAACATTTTTTTCATCGCCAAACTTTGAAGCGGTTAATTGATGCGAATCGCTCATTCTTGTAAATAAAGTTGTCAAATTGTCCAATGGTTTTAATTGAAATTTCGCTCGGTAACCTGTAATTAAAGTAGCTTATAAAGATCGTTCGAATATTCACTATACAGAGTGTGCTTTCACAATATACAACATAAAACTATTCTCTTGTGCGGCTGTCAGTTTTCAACCACATGGAATAATGCAGAGAGAGACTTCCGATTGTATAAATGGAAAATGGAGAATTTTTAATTTTGTTGACATTTTCAGGTTTTCAGCGATATCTCAATAAGCAGTAAACATATTAAAAAAGCAAAAAGTGTATTTTATTAGTTTGGCAATAAGGCAACTTTTGTCCAATTCAACAGAAATTGTATCTTTTCAAATAACTGAGATCTCAATACTTAGCAGGACATTTTGCTCACCATTTATATGTTTGTAATATGTCTAAGCACTGGGGAGTAGCCTCGTATAACGCATGTTTCGTCAACTTCATGGGTGCAATATCGGGGTCATAATCCATGGAAGGTCAGTTTGATGAATCTTCCTCTGTGAATCAATACGTTTCCGGACTGTGCTAGAGCTAGCTAACGATTTGCGCTAGTCACTTTCTTTTCTTTTTCCATATCATATTATACTTCTTACGTTTCTTACAGTCAGGAATGGTTTTATTCGAAACCTATCCCTTTGGAAAAAGTTGAGGCGCTTGCCCACGTTGAATCTCGCCAAAACGCTCACACTAGCTCTGCTCGGTTATTAGTTTCTCAACCCATGAGTGTCACTTTTCGATAGAAGTGAATTCAATGCCATATATATCTGGTGCTGGCCCCCTATTGATAACAAAGTTTGGTACTTATCACAAATTTTCTTTTTGGCCTATGAACATAAGATATTTTACACATTCAAAGTTCATTTACCAATAACACTAACCACACTGTAGGTAAAAGGGTGAATTTTAATCTAACCTTTGAGTTTAGCCAAAATAAAAAAATTCATTTTTGAGCTTTCAACACTAGCATTTACTACAGTGGGCAATAAAATATTAATATGTTTCGTAGTATGAAGGACTCTATTAATAGTTTGTTGAGTGTGAGAGTGCCATAAAAAAACAATTCGAGTCAGTCTGCCACACCTGATAATTCTGTGGTTATATCATGAAAAGTTATTGACGACAAACTATATTGTGATAAACTTTTGGCGTCTACTGTATATGTGACATAAAGTCTCGCATTGTACAATTGAAATTTCAACACTTTCGTACATGTTTTGAAAGGTTCTAAAATATCAGCTGTGATTTGTATAACATATTTTGACCACGATTACATACACGGTATAAGACAAAATAGAAATCATACAAAGAAAACAAATATCAACTACACCAATGAAAAAAATCGTAGTGGTGGCCTTCCATTCTGTTTACATATTTTGTTTTTATAGCTTTTATATTCAAAACGGTTAGCACTAAAATATAATTAATGTTAAATTCTTGTGGGCCTTGAATTTATTTTACATTTGTTTTTTTTTTGTTACAGAACCAGAAACAAATTAGCGCTCAAGTCTACCAAGATATCTACATCCTACACCTTGATTGCAGTATGAAAAATATGTTTAAGAATGGGATATGTGAAGAAATATAAAATGCTTCTCTGGTACAGAATCGACACCTTGGAAATGATTCCTCATCTATAACACGACCGGATTCGATTTCACGGCTAAGACCAACAATAAATAACATGCAAGAAGACGATTAATTTCTGTATCACGCCAATCTACAACTGAGCATGCTGCTATAACAAAGCCAAGTTAATTTTCTACAGTGGATACAATCGCTGGACCACAGCAATAATCACAATATCGTCTTTTTTAGGAAAAAAAATCCATTTTATGGAGAGCATGGCTCTTCCTTTTGTTTTGTGTCAATTAAAAAAGTTTGTAATTTCCCATATGCACAATTGGTTCTTTCAGCATTGAGAGCTGTTCTCTGTAGATTCCTGAAATAGCTGTTCACATTTCGGAAATAGTTTTAGGGTTATGTGATACCTCTCTTCACTATTTCAAAAGGGTTACTATCCTTTTCCACCATTTCTTTGCTTTAAGGAAGAATTTAATCTACAATATGAACAAGTGTCTATCAGCTTGTGTACAGATTGGAATTGAACTGAGTAGATTCCTGAATTCAACTGTTCACGAGACACAGACGAATTCCATAATATCTGAAGAGGAGTTATTAAATACTAAGGGTTAATTTGTTCTCCACCGTTTGTCTGCTTTGTCAAAGAGGAAATAAATCTATAATATGAGCAAGTGTCTGTCAGCTTGTGTACAGATTGGAATTGAACTGAGTACATTCCTGAATTCAACTGTTCACGAGACACAGATGAAATCCATATCTGAAGGTAAAATATTAAATACTAAGGGATAATTTGTGCTCCACCATTTGTCTGCTTTGTCAAAGAAGAAATAAATCTATAAGTGTCTGTCAGCTTGTGTACAGGTTGGAATTGAACTGAGTAGATTCCTGAATTTAACTGTTCACGAGACACAGATGAATTCCATAATATCTGAAGAGGAGTTATTAAATACTAAGGGTTAATTTGTTCTCCACCGTTTGTCTGCTTTGTCAAAGAGGAAATAAATCTATAATATGAGCAAGTGTCTGTCAGCTTGTGTACAGATTGGAATTGAACTGAGTACATTCCTGAATTCAACTGTTCACGAGACACAGATGAATTCCATATATCTGAAGAGTAAGTATTAAATACTAAGGGTTAATTTGTTCTCCACCGTTTGTCTGCTTTGTCAAAGAGGAAATAAATCTATAATATGAGCAAGTGTCTGTCAGCTTGTGTACAGGTTGGAATTGAACTGAGTAGATTCCTGAATTTAACTGTTCACGAGACACAGATGAATTCCATAATATCTGAAGAGGAGTTATTAAATACTAAGGGTTGATTTGTTCTCCACCGTTTGTCTGCTTTGTCAAAGAGGAAATAAATCTATAATATGAGCGTCTGTCAGCTTGTGTACAGATTGGAATTGAACTGAGTAGATTCCTGAATTCAACTGTTCACGAGACACAGACGAATTCCATAATATCTGAAGAGGAGTTATTAAATACTAAGGGTTGATTTGTTCTCCACCGTTTGTCTGCTTTGTCAAAGAGGAAATAAATCTATAATATGAGCAAGTGTCTGTCAGCTTGTGTACAGATTGGAGTTGAACTGAGTACATTCCTGAATTCAACTGTTCACGAGACACAGATGAAATCCATATCTGAAGGTAAAATATTAAATACTAAGGGATAATTTGTGCTCCACCATTTGTCTGCTTTGTCAAAGAAGAAATAAATCTATAAGTGTCTGTCAGCTTGTGTACAGGTTGGAATTGAACTGAGTAGATTCCTGAATTTAACTGTTCACGAGACACAGATGAATTCCATAATATCTGAAGAGGAGTTATTAAATACTAAGGGTTAATTTGTTCTCCACCGTTTGTCTGCTTTGTCAAAGAGGAAATAAATCTATAATATGAGCAAGTGTCTGTCAGCTTGTGTACAGATTGGAATTGAACTGAGTACATTCCTGAATTCAACTGTTCACGAGACACAGATGAAATCCATATCTGAAGGTAAAATATTAAATACTAAGGGATAATTTGTGCTCCACCATTTGTCTGCTTTGTCAAAGAAGAAATAAATCTATAATATGAGCAAGTGTCTGTCAGCTTGTGTACAGGTTGGAATTGAACTGAGTAGATTCCTGAATTTAACTGTTCACGAGACACAGATGAATTCCATAATATCTGAAGAGGAGTTATTAAATACTAAGGGTTAATTTGTTCTCCACCGTTTGTCTGCTTTGTCAAAGAGGAAATAAATCTATAATATGAGCAAGTGTCTGTCAGCTTGTGTACAGGTTGGAATTGAACTGAGTAGATTCCTGAATTCAACTGTTCACGAGACACAGATGAATTCCATAATATCTGAAGAGGAGTTATTAAATACTAAGGGTTAATTTGTTCTCCACCGTTTGTCTGCTTTGTCAAAGAGGAAATAAATCTATAATATGAGCAAGTGTCTGTCAGCTTGTGTACAGATTGGAATTGAACTGAGTAGATTCCTGAATTCAACTGTTCACGAGACACAGACGAATTCCATAATATCTGAAGAGGAGTTATTAAATACTAAGGGTTGATTTGTTCTCCACCGTTTGTCTGCTTTGTCAAAGAGGAAATAAATCTATAATATGAGCGTCTGTCAGCTTGTGTACAGATTGGAATTGAACTGAGTAGATTCCTGAATTCAACTGTTCACGAGACACAGACGAATTCCATAATATCTGAAGAGGAGTTATTAAATACTAAGGGTTGATTTGTTCTCCACCGTTTGTCTGCTTTGTCAAAGAGGAAATAAATCTATAATATGAGCAAGTGTCTGTCAGCGAGATTGGAGTTGAACTGAGTACAGAATGAAATCCATATCTGAAGGTAAAATATTAAATACTAAGGGATAATTTGTGCTCCACCATTTGTCTGCTTTGTCAAAGAAGAAATAAATCTATAAGTGTCTGTCAGCTTGTGTACAGGTTGGAATTGAACTGAGTAGATTCCTGAATTTAACTGTTCACGAGACACAGATGAATTCCATAATATCTGAAGAGGAGTTATTAAATACTAAGGGTTAATTTGTTCTCCACCGTTTGTCTGCTTTGTCAAAGAGGAAATAAATCTATAATATGAGCAAGTGTCTGTCAGCTTGTGTACAGGTTGGAATTGAACCGAGTAGATTCCTGAATTTAACTGTTCACGAGACACAGATGAATTCCATAATATCTGAAGAGGAGTTATTAAATACTAAGGGTTAATTTGTTCTCCACCGTTTGTCTGCTTTGTCAAAGAGGAAATAAATCTATAATATGAGCAAGTGTCTGTCAGCTTGTGTACACCCAAGTAGCACAAAGTTCTATTAAATAGATATTAAATATTTGTGAAAAAATGTACAAAAGATATATTTAACATATTCCTAGTAAACCTTTTTTTCATATTAATATAATATTTTTCTTGTATTTTATAGATATTTTATACATCCGAAATATCTATAAAATACTTATTTAAAACGTATAAAATATATGTTTTTTTATGATTAAACATATATTTAGTAGATATTAAATACCTCTGAAAAAATGTATAAACTATATATTAAATACATTCGAAACATGTGCGTAACATCTATTAAGGTAGTATAAAGTACAATTTAAAAACATTTGAAATATGTATTAAACATTTATTAATAACGTATAAAACACATTTTATATACAATTTATAACCTATGGCAGAATATAGTGAAAACTTAAAATGTAAACAATAAACCTAAAAAATAAATGTACAGTACAGTATCTAAAATATATACATATTATGCAATTTATGGAATGTTATCAACTTCCTCTTCTTTCCCATGTACTGATGCTGCAGCATCGGAAGTCTCACTCGATCTAAGAAAATAAATACACATTTAATTCTGCGATAAGAGAAACAACTTGATGTGTAAGATTACCTTAGTATTAAATAAAAAATTTTCTTTAAGCGATTATTCAATAATAGCTATAATCTTACACATCAAGAAAACATCAACCATCCTATTACATGGAGTCGTACATAAATCATATCAAAGAGAAACAACATACACCATGTCCCATTGATTGTTTCCTTGTCTGTCTTGCAAAGGATAAGAAATTTTCTAATTGTATTTTGAAGGGATCAGCCCTGTTTATTTAGAAACTAACTTGTGACATAATTGTAGTTTCGAAAAATCAAGGGTGACATTTTCAAAAAGTGTTTTTTGCGTACCAGTAAAGTGTTCTTTGGGGACGATATAGGCACAAATCTTATTAAGAAAAGTTGTTCAGAATGAACAAAACAAAACAAAACTGAGTAAACGTGCATCATTTCCAAGTCGTAAGCTTACTTTCATTGTTAATGAAATCCTCAATTTACCTAGCATAAATATTTCAAATCAAATTTCGAAGTGTTTCTATCTGCTTCAAAATTGCTACACGGTCATTACATTCTATTTTAAACAGTTTTGAATTTCCTCAAAAAATCCAGTTCAAAGTAAAAACCTCAAAAAATCAAAACAGTAGATCCTGGTCTTTGAAATTTTGTAAGTTTACTAAGTTTTTCATTCTGAACAATTTTTCTTCTTGTGCGTATCTTGCCCCCAAAGAGTACTTTACTGAAACGCAAAAATTGTTTTTTTGAAAATTTCAAAAGAATCTTTGATTTTTCGAAACTAAAATTATGTCACAAATTAGTTTCCAACCAAGCAGGATTGATGCACAAAAGCTCAAAATTCAATTCGAAAATTTTTTATCCTTCACAGGAGAGACAACCAAACAATCGGGGGACATGCTGTATGTTGTTTCTCTTGTCGTAGAAAAAAAAACTTTCTGTCACAATCAAAATGCTCAATGACTATAATTGGAAAGCTCGAACTCAACGTGGCACAATTGAGTGTGTATATTCAACCGTAAGTGTCACAAGTTTTGGATGAAAATAAAAAAATAAAGAAGTTTCACTTTCTATGCTTAGCAAGAATCTCGATTAGGTTTGCAGCTCATAAAATGACGAAGTACCAATTTTTAAAATTGTAACACAGAGGTCAAACTTCTCAGTAAATTTCAAAAGTCGATTTCGTTGCAACGTCCAGCCATCGTGACCAGCCGCAACGTCCCTCCATATTCACATTGCTAAAATGCTTGCCTGTGAGAGGCAGCGGCAGTCCACTCTCAACTTTTCACAGTGTTGTTGACGTTTCCGTCTCGATTGCTCAAAAACATATATTGGAGCGCTCACGCCAACACACTATGAAAACTCGAGACGTGGGACGTTGACGGCCGGCACTGCGTCCCACATGAGAAAATGTTAGGCGTTGTGTTATTCGGCGGGACAGCTGGCACAGTAGTCACAAAGAAATTCCACCTCAACAACAGATTGGTTGATATGTATGAAAAGAAATTCTCACTCGAATTCTGACCACATTAAATCAAGAAGTAATAAAATACATAAGTACAACAAGAATTTTAATATTTAAATGCAGCATAATTACCTTTTTAAATACAAGGACCCTTGTTGTGCCAGGAAAGTGGATAGTGTCGACTCGATTTTTTTTTTCAGGTTGTTTTCATTTGGCCAAATAATCTGCACACATTCTGAAAAAGAAATAGCAATTAACGCATGATTGTCACTTTAAACTATTGAACGTTGCAAAGAATTTAAAAAAAAACTTACTGTTTATTAGCTCACACATGCGGAGATCAGAAAAGCATTGTTTAGTCTCCACTTGGTCCTTCCTATGTTGCTCTTTCCAGCTAAATTTTTGGGCAAGAGAATTGTCCATTAATCGCTGGAGGGTGCTTCTGGCAGTCTTCGATACGTTAGTTTTTGAGTCGTTTTGCGACAAAACTTTTATCTGTTAAGGAATATTGGTTGTTAGTTCTGTTGAATTTGTTGAGATGTCGCAATAATGATTAAACTCTCTGATAACTTGGGAATCGCAAAAATAAAAACAAACACACATTCTGTAATGAAGAGACCAACATTTTCAGGTGGAGCAAATCCTTTCTGCGACTCTACGAATAACTAAATGTAGTGGTTCCCACACGTTCACGTTATCAAAACCTATATACTCAAAATCAGGGGTCTGGGGCTCTGCGTCATTGATTTGCGAATTAATTTCGGAAAAGTTTTGTATAGATTTCTCACTCTTGTTAGTTAATCAATTTCAGACATACGCTAGAAATTTGTAACATGTAACAAGTGTGCGAAATCTTCCTGAAATGAATTCACAAATCAATGGCCACAGACTTCTGACTTTGAGCGTATAGGTTAAAGTATTTGCATAATCCACAAAATTAAACTAGAAAAGTAAAACACCAAACACTGTTCAGTGAACACTTTGAGAGAGTAATAAAATGATTATTAAGCATGTGCGATTACTTACAATATTTACAAAAAATTCTTTTTCCTTGAGCTTTTCTTCAAATCTTCTTAAGTCGTCTATATTTTTTAAGGGCAAGGCAAATAAAGTTTCTTCCTCTGGTCCCTCCAGAATTGGTTGGTTGGGATTGTTGTCCAAAACTTTGCCTGCCATTTCCATTCGGAATTCTGCAAGTTTGCCATTTAACTTTTGTATAGCTTCTAAAAATAAAAAAAATTAAATTTTATTTATTCATTACTTTTTAAGACTTACTTGATAAGTGGCAAATCCCAAGAGCCAATGATTCCACAGTTACTGGCTTATCTAACACACAAAAGTGTGATTTTTTTGAAATACCACACACAATTGGATGTGGTGCTGGCAATTCTCTTATTGATGTTGAGACTGATGATGTGGAGGGTGCTGTTAAGGTGGAGGGTGCTGTTAAGGTGGAGGGTGCTAATGATGTTCGAGGAGTGTAAGTAGACTGGATATGTAGCTTTCTTTTGAAGCCTTGGTCTCTTGGAGATTTCCTTGGCGAATGTCTGGCTATTTTGGAGGGAGGCGGATATGACCTCTCAGTCTCACTTCCTCCTGACGATGATGATTGCCTCTTCGTGCGCATGACTCTTCGACCGGTGCCCCTTTCTTCTGCTTCGGAAGCGCTTATTGACCATGCACCTTTTTGAAACCGGACGACGTCGGTCATACCTCGTTCGAAAGATGCTAAAATGTACAACAAACTTAATCTTACAAAGTTTGTGGCAAATTTACAGTATAGGGTATATCAATTATCTATTCGGTATTGTTTAGTAAACGGAAGTCATTTATTCATATGAATGAGAAACATTACTTAATAATCCAAAATTGAACAGCCGGACCGTAATCAAGAATCTAACAAAACTGACCCCTCAACTAACCCATTAAATTAGCATGGGCATGAAATCATTAAAGGTTTAGTACAAAAAAAAACAGAACTGCACTTTTTTTAAGCATGTAGTACCTACCTAGTATCAGTGACGAATGAATAATAAATTAGATTACTACCGGTACTGCATGTGTCTGTGCAAATAATAATTGCAATTTTAATATTATTACTGAATCAAGACAATGAGAATATAAATTCGAGATCTTTGTCATAATCATATAAAAAGTTAAGTACATTCTACATCGGTGAATATTATTTATAAAATGAGCATTATTTTCTAGGTCCTAGGAGAACTCACCATAATCTTCCTTGACAATTGTAATTTTGTAATTTAACCAGTCCTTTTCAGGGCGTGCACAATTTTTTGCCAACTTTGTAGCACTAGCTGCTCCCTTATCAGGATAAAGCATTGCAGATGGGGAAATGATCCAAATGCTCGGAACGCAATCGTATTCCTCTTCATCGTCCTCCATAATTTTTTGAATTACCGACCACTGTAAATTCAAAAACAAATCATTAATTTCTCATTCACCTGCCTCATTAAAAGAACTAAAAAATATAAGCAAAGTAATTTAAAAATTACTATCAGAGAAGGGTTTTGTTAGTTCTGTTACAAAAACACTAGGACTCAACAAAATGACAATAACCTCGACAATAACTATACTTACGATATAAATTGCTTCATATGTAGTAGGTACATAGGTATAGGTACAAAGGTACATAAGGTTGCAGGTATAATAGTGAATTTTCCAAATTAAAATAAGCAAGAAAAATTATTAAAGAAAACATTTAGAACTGATGGCAAATTTTTACCCCTGTGTAAACCAAATAAAAAAACGGCAAATAAACTAAATTTTCTATATCACCCATCTGTATGAAGTAATGGAAAGACAACAAATTCTTCTTCAAATGGCAATCTAACAAACTTAAACGTAATATCTGCTACCCTCCACATCTCTCTATCTGATAAATTCTTAACCTTAAAAATATTGAGATCAGAGCTTGGACATAGTGGTTCTGAGAAAAAATCAGTTTTATGTAAGTATTTTCTCCCTATTATAACGTCAGCGGATAATGTTTCTGAAAAAGCAATATTTTCAACTACTATTACATCTCCATTTTGTACGCAACAACAGTCATCCGCACTGTTAACAGATATTTTAAAGTGTTGAAATGTAATTGTTTTGAATTGAGGTTCACGGCAACATGGGAGTAGTGGACCATCATGGTGTGGTGTCTTAAAGCAAGGAAAAGTATGCGATAGGGGCTGTAGATACATATCCTTAATATGACCCAATGAAAATAGCTCTATTATTCGGCGAGAAATTTGTTGCAAAGGTTTTGCTTTCCCCCTTACTAATTTTTTAAATATTTGGAGAAAATTTTCAAAAGGAAAGCTGGAAATGTCATTTAGATTAAAATCATCAATAAAACAGCTAAAATGATCAGCATCGTCCACTAGATGTACAAGATTATGGAAATTATGAGTTAATAGTTTCGGACTATAAAGTTCTGGTGTTATACTAACAAAGTGAATTAATAATTCCCTAGCATACTGGCGATTTGATTGAGATGCACAAAATCTTGAATTTAACAACAAAGTCATGGCAACATGGAGACTTACGAAGTGAAAATATTGCCTTCTGGGTAATAGTGATTGTTTGAGAACAATCGGAGCTAAGTATAAAACAAACGAACGTAATTCAGTTGCTTTCCATCTAGGTAATGAGTTAAGCTCCCTAGGTTTTCGAACAAACTCTGATGGCATGTAAGTTTTAAGATTCACCAACGCTTCTGACAAAGTCATCCTAGTTTGAATGGGTAACAAGAATGGCCTTGGACCAAAGGCCCACAATGACAAAATAGTTCTGACAACGCCTAAACAAATCAGATGCATGTAGTCTAATATAAAAGACTTCACAAAATCTAATTGAGGCAATGCAATGAGAGGGGTTGAACGATCAACAGGTTGATAGTGTGGGTCACTTCTGTTTCTAAAATCTGCATCCGTACGTGGAGCACAATTTAACTTTGGAAATATTCTCCGATTTTCGAAGGTTTCCCCTGTCACAGTACACCGGGTGCAACTACTAAAACCGGTATGGGCAATGGTACCTAATATAAACGCCTTAGCGGGGGCGTCACAACAAAATCCTAATAGTTGAACCAAAATTTTACGATGATCAAAAATTATTCCATTCTGCAACACATCCATTAACTCATTCAGAAACGGTGTCAAGAATAAATTCAAATCGTGAGGTTTTCCGTCGCCAAAATAAATTCCAATCGGAAACACTTTGTTTTTCAACTGCGGAGAGGATTTAACTTCCATCAAAATAGGCCACAATTCACCTTTGCTACTTTTAAACAACGGTAAACCATCAACATTAAATAAGGTGTATATATAGCTAACGGGTTGAGACAGTAAACTTAAAGCAAGGTTTATTTGTACTTTCAACCCAACATGGAAATATTCACCAGGTGGAACTGTAGTGATGTTGAGATTACTAATTCTAGGAGTTTTTAATATGGTTCTTGCATCAGTGGGTAAACCAGCGAAACATTGAGGATGAACCGTTTTCAAACCTTTACATAATTTTGAAAGAGTCGAATGAGAAACATTATCCGTTAAAGCCCAGTGCCTAAGAAATCGTACAGTTTTCAAGACATCTGGTGATAGTTTTGTGGCATCAAATTCGTCAGATGTACAATCTACATTAAATAAAGAATTAGTCGCTGATTTTTCTCTTAGATCCCTATGTAAAGCATCGTCTGAGGAATCTTCGGAATCATCCTCCGATTCATCCTCAGAGTCATCACTACCATACAAAAAATTTAAATTAAAATCTAAAGGTTCCTCTGAAACAGGAATTTCATTTTGGGCCATATCTGATAAACTATCAACTTGAATTTCTTCTGTAGGAAAAACAAGGATGGGCGAGGATGGGGGAATCTCTGCAGGGAAATGAGATTCGAGATGAGAGGTTTCTGATTCCGACAAATTTGAGCTATGTTCATCATGTGAAGACGAGGACGATCCTTCTGTTGAGACACCACTTTCCCTTTGAGTTTTGAGGCGTTTCCACTTCCCCGCTTTTGAGAGGAGGTGGTAGGGTTTTCGATGTTGCTGTATAGGTACATAATAAATTACGGTAAGCTAACTCAAAATTCACGGGACTACAATGTTTAACTGGCGATTAAAAATGAGTTGCTGTCGAGTCGCCTTTGGAAGTTCTAGTTAAATACGATTTCCCATGTAAACAAAAATTGCAAAGGCGACTCGACAGCAACTCATTTTTGATCGCATTGTATTTAGTTCAACTTGCAGAGGTCTGTTGAGAAAACTTCCGAGACCTAGAGGTAATCGATCTCGACTTATTTACTGAACCTTGAGTTACGGAGGTAATTTTAGTGCCCTTTCCACTTATGGAGGTAAAATGATATTGACTTAATAGGCCTTTACGATAATTCAACCGGTATAACCGAGTTGGTAGATTTTCCTATGGTTACAATTATTGCCACAATTGTTTCTATGGTGATTTGATTTCTACCAATTCGGTTAAAACGGTTGAATTGAATTATCGTAAATCCCCATTATGGTTCGACTTGGCGGGAGTCAACTGTACTACTGTTAACTAGATTAGGTACCTACCTACTTAGAATTTGCAAATTTTACTCAGCATATAACAGTTAACGCAATCAGTTTTAAAACTGCCAGAAAAACCTAATTTCAAATACTTACTTAGGTACCTTCTATATAAAAATTGAATTCCTGATATTTGTTTTTCAAAAGATATATCAATAGTATAGATTTTGATTAGGTATTATTGTATTAAAATAAAAATGAGAAAACCAAATGTGTTGCATTTTGTAAATTCAAGATTATAGAAAATGTTACACATAACCTCGCACATAACCTAAAGGTGGCTCAGTTCCTTATGCTTATCTAAGCACTTACCTTAGCCGCTTTCCTTTCAACTGATCAGAGCTGATCGAGTAACTCTGAAGAGCTCCGGTGTGTTCCATTACCACAGATCATTTTGATCTGGTTCATGTTTCCCTCTTCCCCTCATGCACGACCTTTTTCGCGGGAGCATTAGAGTAGATCAGTAAACATAACCTTAGTTCTTTATTTACATCTTTGCTTAAAATATTTTGCTTGGGTAATATCACGAAACAATAATGGAATTAATCCTAGAGGAAGACGACGTACAATATAAATTATGTGTATCAGAAACTGATTACAATCGTGCAATGACAGGTTTATATAACTATTTCTATGTAATCAAATTTTGCTAATTACTATATTTTATAGATCATGCATTTGCACAAAGTCTATTATTTCACGCAAAAGTTACCGGTAGTTCTATTAGTACAGTTGCCTCAAATCAAAGTCGTGTAGAGAACTTGGAACCGGCATCGGACAATTTGGAACAGTACTTGGAAAACGACCGTCACAGCTGGTCGCATGACGAGACGTTGTGTCTTATTAAGTCAATGGAAGTGCACATTGAGGATGAAAACCATCCTAAAAAAAGGAAATTCATTTTCGAAAATGTTGCAAATGATCTGATAAGCAATGGCTTTCAGGTGAACGCTACCGTGTGCCACAATAAGTGGAAAAACTTAATGCGATCTTATAAAACTGCAAAAGATAACATGCTAAAAACCGGAAGAGGACCAACTAGATTTTTATTTTTTTCTGAAATGGATGGGGTTCTAGGTGAAAAACCATCGAGCAGTGCGACACATACATTAGAATCTAATAACTTACAAAATTTACCCGACACATTGCCACCTCCCGAGATGTCTGCAATGTCCTCTCCGTCATCATCACGGTCATCAACACCCACACTGACACGAAGTAAAGAAAAAAAAGGAAGCATTCTACAAATAAAAAAAGAGGAATTTAGGAGAAAACATGAAAGACATAAGGAAAAAATGAGACTTCTTGAGATAAGGAACAAGGTTGAGGAACAGAAAGTGAATCTCTTACAAGAAATTTTAAATAAGTTAAACTCATAAATAGTTGTAATTATGTTGTTTCAATATGAATAGTAATTTCGTTTTTTAAATTATGTAATATTACATTGGGAATATGTTATATGTTACTATAAATATTTGTTTATTTCATGAAATAAAAAATAAAACATATAATCTGATTACGAAAACATTTCTTCAAATATTTGTTCTCTCCAATGCCTGGTTACGTTTTTTACATCTGACTGCAATGGTATTTCACTATTAACATCACTACTTATGTCATAAGGTTCTATTACTGTATTATCATGTTTGCTTTCACAAATATTGTGAAGCACACAACAAGCCATCATAATTTTCACACAGATATTGATATTTAAGTTCTCTAAATGTTGTAGCCTGCGGAACCTCCCCTTCAAAAGTCGAAACACATGTTCAACAATAATGCGTGTCGATGAATGTTTAAAATTAAACACTTTTTGATTGTTACTTAGGGCACCGTTGTCCTTAAATGGAGGTACTAACCAACTCAGAGATGGATATGCTGAATCACCCAGTAAGTATTTATTGCCAAAGAAATTAACATTATTTTCGGCTTTAGAATACAGTGAGGACCTCCTTAACAACCGAGCATCATGCAGAGATCCCGGCTCTCCACAATACACGTCAATAAATTGCCTGAAGCTATTGACAGTTCCTTGTATTAGCAAACTAAAGTATCCTTTTCTATTGATGTATGAGTCTTGATCATTTTTTGGCCTCCGAATTCTCACATGACATCCATCAATTGCTCCAATTACATTTTGACTGCCAAATTTGGTGGCGAAAGCTTTAGATATAACTTCTGTTTCCTCCTGCGTTGGCCACTTAATGTACTCAGTACGTAGAGACAGTATACAATTTAATACCCTTTCAATTACACGGTGAGCAGAGCTCAGTGACACATCAAAACGATCAGAAACCTGCCTAAATGATTCCGTGTTTCCAAGGTACCATAATGTCATAAGCATGGCCTTTTCACTTGATATTTTCATTTTTCCGTGTTCATGAACAGGGATGAAACCACTGTTTTCCAGTCTACTAGCTAACTGGTACACTATTAATTTGTGCATTCGAAAATGCGATTTAAATGTTGTTTCACTATAATTTACAACTACTCTTTCAATATATCCTTCAATTCGTACAATTCTAGCATATTCCTCAACCTCAGAATCAGTACTACTTTCACTACTGCTCCCACTAGTTTCTGGACCTTCCAATAGATTAATAATGACTGGTAATAAATCCATAATTAACTACAAAACCAATTTTTAGGTTAGGTGTTTTTTGGTAAACAAAATGAGTGTTCCATTCAACTTCAGAATAGAGTAGTTGGGAGTGGTTCACTTAAAATCTTAGATCATTTGAAAGGAAAGCGGCTCTTATTGTCCATCATTCAATGTCACGGCCGACAAATTAAACACTGTCACGGCCGACAAATTAAACACTGTACACAACTTAACGAAAAGTATAAAACTTAAAGCAAAACAACCAGGTCCAGATAAACACTTAAATCAAACAGCTGCTGCTCGAATACCGATCGGTCAATTAATAATTATTAGAGAAACGCGAAGGCGACACGAACTGCAAAGTGCAAACTGCAATCTGCATAAATAAATAAAAAGGTGGTTATTATTTATGACGAACTGCTCACATAGTACATACACAGCACATCAACCGAAATCAGTAAACTACATGACGAAATCGAACCGGAGTTGCCCGAAGTGCGAGTATACTATCAAGATCTTTCACGGTCATGCCACGTGCAGACTCGTGACTGTTCACGTGCTATTACCTGCAGCAAAGCAAAGCAATCAGCGTTCAAAAATAACCTGCATAATGACGGCCGACGGGTGTTACAGGTTTTTGTTTGAATTGAATTGCATCCCATAAATCATATTGTTTTTGAAAACTGCATTCTTACAGAACAAAGGAAACGAATGTACAGATTGCAATTCGCGAAAATCTTCTCTTGAGTTCATAAGTTTCAGCCGTTTTACAAAACAGAAGATTTTCGGGAATTAAATTATCATAACAAAGATTTATTACGGTTGACGCCTTGACGGGATTTACCACAAGCACTGAAATTTGCATAATTCATTCTTGGGATGTTTTAAACTTGTTTGGGGAAGGTATTAATATGAATGTATGAAATACAAATAAAAAATGTATTAAGATACAAGTGTATAATCAAGTCTTTAAGCACGCCTTTAACGTTGCAAGTGCTTTAAAGACCAATTATACACGTGTATCTTATAGTATTTTTTATTATACCTGCAGTATAATTTAAAAATAGGAAATTCAATGAAATCATATTGACGTTATACTCGAATACACGTCTAATTAAGTGGGCTGGGTGTTCGTAATTTCACGATTGCAATGGAAATGTCACTTGACGTTGGCTTATAAAAATTGTCGTCTTTGTGAATAAAACGATTTCCGTTGAAAAAGATAATACACCGTCCATTAAATCGCTTGTAAAATCTAAACAAACGTTGGTAGGTGTAAAATCTCAATCCAGTAAAGCCTATTATCAAGCATATGAAAAGTTGTTTCCTTGGATGAATAGGAAGTTACTTACGAATAAAGTCTTAAATGCATCAATAATGCTGGCATAAATGAAGGAAATGTCAAAGGTATTTAAATCTTCTATCTTTTGGTGCATTCATTCAAAACTTCACTTATTGCTGGGACTAAAAAGTGGAACAGATTTGGAAGCATGCCCTAAATTACGCGCGTTTGTAAAAGCTTCAACCAAAGGATAGGTACAAGCCAAAGAAATGTTCTGCATTTACAGAAAGCGACTTGGGAAGATTTTTTATTTCATCCAGATGACAGTTTCAAAAGTCATACTTGAAGTATCGTTACTTAGCAACTTTAAAGCACGTGTGTTTTAAAGGCCTTTTTTCGCACGCATTTGAGTGTTTAAAACGGAGATTGTGATTCAGGTATAATAAAAAATGTATTAAAACATTGCACGCACTTGTATTTAATACATTTTCAAACAAACGCGAAATACATATGCAATATGTATTTAAAACCTATTAAATATTCGTATATTAACTTATATTGTATATCTCCGAAATATGTATTTAATATGTCTTTAATATAAATTTAGTTAGGGTTATTCATAATACATTTTTATACAAGTTTTATATGTATTTAATATATATCTGTGCTACTTGGGCAGATTGGAATTGAACTGAGTACATTCCTGAATTCAACTGTTCACGAGACACAGATGAATTCCATAATATCTGAAGAGGAGTTATTAAATACTAAGGGTTAATTTGTTCTCCACCGTTTGTCTGCTTTGTCAAAGAGGAAATAAATCTATAATATGAGCAAGTGTCTGTCAGCTTGTGTACAGATTGGAATTGAACTGAGTAGATTCCTGAATTCAACTGTTCACGAGACACAGATGAGTTCCATAATATCTGAAGAGGAGTTATTAACACATTCAACGCCAGTGTATCCTTTTCGATACACAGGACTGGTTCTATTCAAACGGTTGTGTATCATAAATGCGCACGGTTTCTATACGTTTTATATGCAAGAATTAATGTAATGGCCTGGACAAGTTTCCCTGTGTACCTGGGTTTGGCCTTACATAATAGGAAGGTATATATTTATAACTTGATACTTGTGTGTCCTCTATTTTGGTTTTTAGTGACTATACCAACCCAGTTATTGTTCCAATAAATACTATTATGGTATGTAGGTTTATAGAAAGGCTGTTATTAAAAGTAAAAACGTCAACAGCGATAAAAAAAAATTAATAATTAGAGGCATTATAACAATTCTTACAAATAATAATGTTACACACTGAACATTTTGTGTTAACTTGAGAGGCCTTCACAACTTTGCCTTCAACATTTTTAACTCCTTGGCGTCCATATTTCTTGTAACATTCCGTACAACGACCTCTGATCTTCTTGCCATCTTGTATATTAGTTACAAGATGGTGGATTTCTTGTCTTGTGGTTCGCAATGGACCAGGTGTATGGGCGTCACTTCCAGAAATCTTTGAAAACATTGAATCTATAACCTGCTCACGAAATTCCGTTATAGTGAGCTTCTTACGGAGAGAATATGCGTTGTACAGAAAGTGGGCATTGACTAAGCTCGTTCCCCATATGATCTCGATCATCAACTTCCGGTACCATTTTGTACATCGTCGTAAGGCAGAAGCATATGTAGCCATTTGGTCACTAACATCAATGGACGATTTGCCATGGTTGTAGTCAAAAATGCACAACGGTTTTTGAATAGTGGCCCCACTCCTGCTCTCATTGGGGCGTGTTTTCAATGCAGAGGTTTTCGTGGATAACATACGGACGTCCCTCTTGTCGCGCCATTTCAGAACAACAATCCCATCATCAGTTTGTCTTGCAGAAAAATCTCCTCTTCTAAGCTTGGCGCACATAACGTCCTGTGGCAAGTATTTCCTATTTGCTCTAACTGTTCCTACCAAATGGGTGTTATTTTTTCTTAATCGGTAGGCCAGAGGGATGCTTGTATAATAATTATCTGTATATAAAGTTCTACCGTTACCCCAAGAGATCTTTCGCTAAAACCGTAACCGTATTTTCTGATACCTACTTCCGTTTCACCATCTTTGGATTTGCCGCAATAAATCAAAAGGTTCCACGTATAACCTTTATCGGTGCACAATTTAAAAATTTTGATGCCGTATTTTGCGGCCTTATTCGGTATATGGGTCTTTTTCAATAACCTTTAACTTTAGGTATACCGCACTACCAAATCTTTATTTAGAACGGTATCAAAGCATATTATTTTTTTTACCATTAAGACATTGTTGTGTATACTAATTAATAGAAAAAAGGTAAACACAAATTTCAGTTTGTGATTTTTTTTTATTTTTAAAATTCCATTTTAACATTACCGTCACGGTCAACTTTTTGAACTTCTTAACTTTCGCTTTAAATTTTCATTATATATTACCCTAATTGCAAAAAGTAAATATTGTTTTATATTCTGGTAACGTTTGTTTTACTCAGTTCATATTTTAAAACACCAGGTAATAATAATTTGTTTATTTTTTAAAATAATATTAAATAAACCCATTAATGCTAACATTACCGTCACTCCAAGCTTAGCTGCCCATTTCTACCGACAGATCGCGCACGTGTCGCTCTTGCTTAGTTCCACAGCTCGCTTAGCTTATTGAGTCAATGCTGGATGTCAAGAGTGCAAAAAGTTTTCTTGTTTCTCATGCTGGTTTTGTATTAAAGGTATGTTTTGTGTAAAATATTTTTTCTCTCAACATTACCGTCCCATAAGACCATTTAGTTATAATGATACCTATCATAATACTTTTATTTTATTAATAATACCAACCCCGCCAACAACGAAATTTCCCTAACCTTAAACTTTACTGCCATTTTCAAAAACATCTAGGGGCTATTTACTTGTAATTAAACATTTCCGTCACGAACATTACCGTCACGTTTACAGAAAGGGCAAAATGTGACGGTAATGTTATGGGCGGGACGGTAATGTTAGAACGGAGTATAGATGGTATCATGTTGTTTATGGTATCGTATATTATATATAGGTGAGAGTCTTCTTAGTTTCATGATGGATTCAAGTACGTCACTTTCCCTATGTATTCCGAGTACTTCAAATCAAGAAGTGAGAGTCGTTTTAAAAACCCCAGACAGAACCAAACCAAAAAATGAACGGCTGATTTTACTTCAAAATAAATTAAGGATTATGAGAGAGCAGGCAGCAAAACGCCGGGATGAAAACAAAGCGTTAAAAACTAAACTAAAAAAGGCGAGAAAAAAGGAGACTAAAGCTGAGATTGAACAAAAACGGCAACCTGTATCCGATAAAAATGGTCCTTTGCAATCAAAATGGCTAGCGAATGATAACATTAAGGTTCCTGTGGAGACAAAAAAAAGTTCAAAGAGTTCCGCTTAAAAAAGTAACCGTAAACGATTTATAAAAAGCGCGTTTCCACATTAACTGTGTTCGATTTTTTGCTGTAACTTTTTTAGTAATAATCGCAGAAAAAATCCTTCCTTGGTGCAAGCCTCAACACCATAACGAACCAAATAGCGAAAAAGTAGAACAGCTTTTAAGATAAAGAGGTAGGTAGTAGCCGTAGTAAAAAATCTATTTATTTTTGGTACAATAATTTTACGGCGTTGCTTGTTGCTCTGATTTACACCATGTCCAATTCCGTGTCGACCTAATCGTATGGAAAATCAAATGATATTTTGAGGATCTAATAGCATAACGTCTACTTAC